TAAAAGTGCATACTAGCAAAAAATAAAATAACATTGCTAATTTAATCAAGCTAATACAGTTTCTGTTGGTAAACGATAAATGCCATGAAAACTTTAAAGCACTGGAGACGTGCTTAATAATTACAGGAAATACCTGCACTTTCTTGACTTTATGGAAAAAAAAAATCCTATGGAGAAGTGGTGCTATTCTAAATGATAGCATTCCGTCATCATTTTAACCGTTTCCCCCAGGAGAACGGCATGCTAATACTAACGAAGACTACTGCTAAATCTGCCTCTGTAGCTAAGGCTCCACACTCACAGCACAACTAGACTTAACACTGTATTTTAATTACAATCCACACTTTCTACGTTTTACTTTTAATTTCTTTTCATTCTTGAATAGGTTATATGTGTTTTTACTGGTGTTCTTTTAGGTGTAATGTATTAGCATATCCATCCATCCATCCATCCATTATGTGTCACCATTCGTCCTATTCAGGGTCGTGGGAGGTCTGGAGCTTATCCGAAATATAATATTCTTAAATATACTACAATAATTTAACTAAAGAAATCTGAGTTAGTCTTAAAGCCAAAATGCTGTCTCCCCTGAGTGCTAAAAGGCTTCAGACTTGGAACTACATCCGATTATTCGGTTGCCTTTCAGGCAGCGGGAGGAACAATCCTTGTCCATATACTCTTTTTATTTACTATGAGATTAAACAGAACCAGACAGACACCTGACAGACCTGGCGAGCTGGGATTGGTCACAGGAAAATGCACCAATTGACATAACAGGTGCCTCCATGAGAAATTGAAAGGACGTGCTGTTAGCATAGAACCCCACAGGCAGCGACAGCGAAGGGGCGGGAACTGGCCATTGGTCACATGTTTCGCTGTTTGCAGAGTCCTGCCATCAGACTCAGTGTGCCGCAGCGCCATCCGTCGATTCGGGGGCCTACGGAAGACGAGGAGAGGGCTCCGTTTCCGCGGGAGGGGGCATGGCGCTGACACCTTGCTCTTGGCCCACGAGGCGAGCGAGAGGACGGGGGCAAGCGCCAGCTGGACCCCGCGCCGGCCCAGCTGCCGGAAAAATGCATGCTGGGTCCTGGTCCAAGCATACTTTGCGCGGCATGTGGCCAGCGGGGAGCCAAATCACGCTTTCCGTTTCCAAAACCAACAGCTCCCTAACAAGCCGGGAAGAGAGGCCGCCGCTAACCGGTCTTTAATTTGCGGGTAGCGTCCGGGTCAGTGTTCCCTTCCAACAGAGCTTCCACATGAGGCTGAGAGAGGACGGGGGCTCGGACCTCTCATCCAAACTAGCCCACCCGTCCGTATGCACAAAGACACGCTCGCCTTCTCACTTAACAGCCTCACATCCACTAACATCCACAAGGGGGCGCATTGTTGCAATCCACCGTTATCCACATGGGGGCGCATCGTGTTATTTGGCTACATTACCAAATTTTGCAGCTTTTTCCTTTCGGGTTTCCGCTGCACGGCAGCAAATTGTGCATGCTGCAGGTTATCATTACATAAAGAGTGAAATGACTGCTTAAGATTATTAAGCTTCTACGACAGTGATTTCCTGATGTACGCGGTCCATCAGATCCATGTTTAAAAAGATATGACCGGCTCATTTTCTGGCTCTTTTGAGGCTGTGGCTTTTGAAAGATGCCGGTGAGATGCTGGATGTAGCCTTTGCAGTTGGAACCTCCCCCCACCCCCCAACAATTCCACCCCCAGACCATAAGCCTTTATTTGATCTTTTAAGATCTGGATTTCTCCAGCCGGTCCAGCTGGCTGCTGTGCTCCTACGTGCCTCTCAGATTGCAGTATCTCCCGCTGGTACAGTGAGATTTTTCTGCTGCCACAATCCCACAGACGCTGTGATGGACAGACCGATGGAGGAGAGCGGCTGTCCTGGGTGGTAACGGAGAGCTCTGCTTTTCTTCCTGCCTCTCTCTGGCATCACAAAGGCTGAGCTCTGTTAAATATGATCTCCCTTCATTTGAATGCTGAGATAGATTTTTTTTTTCCTCATTTCTGCACAGTCTGGATTTGCAGAAATTTATGTCAATATGTGTCACGCAAGCTGAAAATGGAGCCCTCAAGAGGGTGACAACCTATTCGGATGTGTCCGTTCAGATTTGCCCAAGCTGCTGTCTATCATGCTTACAAGTCATTCTGTGCCGAATATGAATTAGTTTGTGAATTTAGCTTTTTTTTTATTTACTTAAACAATCCTCTCCTGACACCGAGGGCACAGATCACACCTTAGCCCTTCGGCCTATGCTGGGAGCAATTTGTGAGGAATCTAAAATGCAGGAAATAAAAACTTATCCTGCTGGGTCAAATCAAATCCGGCGACACAAAAAACCTCACTCCTGAAGGCTGTCCGCTTCTACGTTAAAAAAGAGCGAGTCAACTGACCATGCTGTGTTCTCCTGACCTTCAGCAAAGCAGGGGACAAAGAAGTGACACAAAGAGATGGAAAACTGCGGTCGCTCTCTGTCAAACTCAAGCAATCGTTGTTTACCGAGAGATCTGTGGCTCGGACCAGACCCTGGTGCTGCATAATCTGCACAAGATTAGGGTGTGCTGAGTAAATCACACAGGAGGTAAAGCAATTAGCTGAGAAAGAAAATATGCTAATGTCCCTGCCAAGCCTGTTGGGTCATTTTCATTATGTGTGTTAAGCCGTGGCTCTGGACAGAACTTTTCAAAAGCAGATTAATAGTTGCATAAAGAAAAAAATGCAGAATTTGAGTTTATAATCCAGAACTCACAAACTAAAAGCCACACTTTTGAGGATAATATTTCAACAGACTAATTGATATTCTTTTTTCGTAACGCCTGCATTACAGACCAGAATTTCAGTATTTTATTTGTCATTCCTGCCAAATAAAAGGAGAAGGATAAATAAGTTATGAGCATTTCTTTGCCAGTGGAGTATGTGGCAGATATTCATCCATCCCTCCACCCATATTCTGTAAATGTTGGTCCTATTCAGGGTGGCATCTACACTCATACATGCAGACCTACAGGCGATTTGGTAACTCCAAGGATCCTCAACATGCTTTTAAACTGTGGGGGGAAATCAGAGCACCCAGAGGAAACCCTCCCGATGACACGGGGAGATCATGCAAACTCCACACACATGGAACCCTGGCTGAGATTTGAAGCCAAGCTCCAAAGGTGTGAGGAGACACTGCTGCCCCTCAGATGGTCATGTTCCACTTAAAATATTCTCTGCGGTTCAGAGTGTTGGATGAGCTCAGTGCCAACCTGTGGCGGGCAATTGTGGGTAAATGTTCGGCATCCACTAGCTAATGTCCTACAAACTGGAACATGCAGTCATCTACACTTGACAAAACGGCAAAATCACGCAGCTTCATTGTCACCCCTTATTTTTCAATAGCTCTGAAATATTTTCCTGGAAGGCAACATAAAACGAGTCAAGGTCACATGTAATTTAAAGAACAATGTTGCCATAAGAGTTAATAATTTAAATGCAATAAAACTACACTACTTACATCACCAAAATTTATCACTACCATGAGGCAACCCCCAGGAAATCATAGAACTCGGTCGTGGTCATCAACATCATCGTCATGTGATTAAACAAAGAATGACGTACGAAAAACTGTTTGCATATGATAAGCTAAAAAATCACATTCATCAGATCCCTACTAGGCGTTTCAAAAAGTTTGTTTTTTAAGACAGCAAACCATAAATAAGTCGCACAAATGAAGCAGTTAATCAAACGTTTAAGAAACCTTTTGCCATGTCAATATGCATTAGGCGTTGACTGATTTGCCATTTGCCTAATTAATCAATCGCTCATTCTAACTCACATTCCATTATCTCATTCACAAGCCGTACAGCCTTGACGTACATAAATCTCTTTTTTCTTTAGTCAAAAGAAATTAAAGTTATTTATCTGCAAGGACAGCTAAAAGCAAAGAGTAGATGCTAAGGAGCGGGCGGAGGGGATTTTAAACGCACCGTTGAGTCCTTCCACTCAGAGATGAGATCACGACAGCTGGCCTGAGTTAGCTGATGCAAAGGCTCTGAGTTTTAATTGACTATGTGTTAAAAGCCTCATATATAAGCTTAAGGGCACCACACACCTGCACCGCACCTACTTCCTCACCCAACCAACATCAGAGGAACATTAATAGTTAAACTGTTCCATCAACACCCAGAGTCAACGCGGAGCAACAAAGCAAACTGCACTGATCTGAAACTTCACACAAAACGAAATGCCCTTCCGTCCACCAGCTAGTGACCCCCTTCAAATCGGCACTCACTTCACATCAGCCGCTCACGGAACCTTGACTGGTCTCAGACCAGTTTGTAGCGCTCCACTTCTATCATTGTAACAGTTGTTTTGGCAGATGCCTCAAAACCGGAACTCTAATTTCTCTGTCTGTCTTTGTACCCTGACAGTTTTCATTTCTGGCTGCGTTCCCAGCTAAAGAGCATAAGTGTTGGAGCGTTGAAGAGCGGTCATTACTGTCTGTGAGATTTTACAGACGCCTGAGCCCCAGCGATGGCCAATCAAGCTGTCAAAACGGCTCCGTTTCCGCTGCGTGGGGGCCTCGCACTCACAGCCAGCGGACACCGGGTCATTCCCAGTCAAAGTCATTCCCTCTAAATGTCCCAAGAACAACGAAAATCATAGTCTGCCCGAGAATATAACATAGAACAACTGACATTTTAAATATTTTACTGATTTTATCATTTAAATTGGAAAAGCAGTGATTAATAAGAGGCTGTTATTCAGAAAGAAATTGTTCCAAATCTTCCGACATTGTAATTATTTACTCTGATGCTTCTAAAGATGCAAATTGGCAGTACTTCACAAAGCTGACATGTAACATATAAACATTTAGCTGCAAGCATATTAAAGATTTAAACAGAACATTATGAAGATAAAGTCTTTGATCTTCTAATGCTCTGGCCGCAAAACCGCACAGAGTCACTGCATTTTACAGTTTATCAGCCAGAGCACTTACCGTCATGAACCCGTCCAGCAGGCCCGAGTCGGGTTTCGGGGGGGCCTGAAGCCTCTCCATGGACCACTTCTCGATGATGGAGGACACTTGCGTGTTCTCGGTGTTGAGGATCCGGAAGCCGGTCATGTTCACCCCGCTGTAGCGGTACGGTTCCACATCCAGGGCAAAAAGATCCTAGAAATGGAGTCCAGGTGCAGGCCATTAACTGGCAGCACTGGCAGTGTGTGGGCAACATTAATGTGATCGAATACAGCGTTTTTAGGTTGTTCTGTGTCTTGATCGTGCATAAATTGCAATGCAGCAGCTGGAACATCCCTGCAACTATCACGCCAAGCAGACACTTTTCATACGAGTTCTGCTGTGATGATTTAAATACACACACGCGTACACCCAAACCTGTGCGCTGCGCAAGACAGACATCAAAGCAGCCTCATAAGCACAGGTGCTGCGTCACACCTACACAGAGTTCCTCAAATTCACACACACTCACAGGCAGGAGCTTGTACTGTATGGACAAACTTCTCAGAGAGAGACACACAGCCAGACGCAACCATACAGGACTACTCTTGTACATTCGCACAGACACCCACTAGCTATAACTAATGGCGACTAGCACACGCTTATCTCCAAGAAATTACACCAGCAATGAGAGCGAAAGCTGGCAGAAGATGAAGGCCATATGCCGGCTCTCTATGGCTGGTTTGTGTTTTCTGGTTGGCAAATTAAGCTCACAATTCTGGCCCACTTGTCTGCCAAAGTTCTTGGCTAAATCACCTCTCCTATTCCTATTTCTCCTCCATTTTCACTTTTTTCCATAAACTTCTCGCAATCTGAAAACATCCCCTTCTGCTGCATCGAAACCCAAACTTAGCGGGGTCCCGGGTGAAGCAGACCGGGCGGCGGGGTCTCAGGAGGGGGCAGCGGACACAGATGCCCGTGCCATTGGAGAATCATCAGGGTTGTAGGGAGACATAAACTGACTGTCATCCATATGAAAAAGCCATCCCTCCATTCTACACACATCAAAGCCATTTTGTGTTTACCATTGTGTGCTTGCGGTAATCTTAAGCCGGACAATAATGATTAACTGCATTTAAACAAAGGAGAACCCTCATTCAAAATCAATTTTCTTGACCGGCTCTCATCACGCTGAAGTCTATGAAGTATGATTACCCTATCTCTCATCCGATGGGTGGAATAGATATCGACCTAATGTCCAAGGGGACTAAGGAATGCTTGTCAAAGTCTTATCAAGGAAATATGCCTCTGAAATAGGCAGTGAAACAAGACCTATCACATTGCACAGCTATAACATCTGACTATAAATCTCCAGAAAGGCTAGCAAGGTTCTTTGTAATTGTGTCAAATATCAGCATCATGTGCAAGCATCAATACCGACTTTTTCTGGTTAATTATTAATTATTCTATTTGTAAAGAAAATAGTAAAACTGGGAAACTGCATGTGTATTTATTGGGCAGGTATTTACACGCACATTTAATTTAAGACCTGAATCTTAACTGATTAATTTCCCTTTAGAAATAAGTACAAGGTCGACATGTTGTGGCGGCGTGGGGGAGGGTCAGACCCCAGCCGGCCACTGCTGCAGGCCGGGCATCACCAGCCCCGCCCTCTCCTGTGCTGTAGTTTCTGCTCCTCATAAGTTTAAAAGCTACCTCATCTGGATTCACCTCCTTCAAGGACATTAGTCTGCTTGTTAAACACCACAAACAGTAGGCTGGATCCGTCTGGCTCGCTCTTATTGTCAAAAAAGCAACTCGCCTCGATGTAAAACTACAGCTTTCCATTCAGCCTATTAAACAGTCGCGAAATGCTCGCGTCTCGTAATGGAGGCGCCGAGAAATAAATATCCATTAGCGCCTAAGCAGCGGCGCCAAATACCATTGTGTGTGAAATTGCTTACCAGCGTTGTAAAGATGTAGTGGTAATACTCCGTCATCATACCCATGGCTAGCGCCTGCAAGAGAGACAGGAAAACAGTGTCTGTCACCATACCAATGCCTCACTGACACGCGCGAGTCTGGCGCGCGGCACAAAAACAGCTCAGTGTATCAACAACGTAACCTATTTGCGAGGCCCGCAACTCAGATTCACTGAGGGAAAAAAAAACCATTAGAGACCATTTTGTTGAAAGAGGACGTCAGGGGGAAAAAAATCAAGAGGGAACATGTTTGCATGCCTGTATCTTTGCTATTTTAAAATCCTTATTTAAATAAAAAATTCACAGTTTTGTTCTGTGCACAACATAAAGCGATAACCTCATCTTTCATGCATAATACATGACGGTACCAAGAGTAAACTGTAGGGAAACTGCATAAATTAGTCTGAGTTAATGTTTAAAAGGAAATAATAGCTGAGTGGTGTGGAGGACTAATGGTACACGCAGGAAAGGGAGAGGGGCTCTCTCCAAATGACAGTTACTCCATATGCCTGTCCAGCTCATTCTTATTTTAGTGCCATGGTAACGTTTTATACCATTTCTAACGTTTTATACCATTTCTACACAGAGATATTCCTTTGAAAGCCTTTTGAAGCATTTCATAAACACTGGGACAAGAACTGACATTTGTTTTCTTTCCATACTCACCGGTAACAGTCTATAAGATTAAAAGTCTGGTTATTTTATATTTGATGACCTTGACTTTGTATTTTCCTGTGTTTCTCTCCTTTAATATATATATATGTGTGTGTGTGTGTGTGTGTGGTCATGTATATATTACATCATGAGGACCAAATGATCCCACAATGTGATAAAAGCATGTTATTTTGACATTGTGGAGACCCTGTTTTTCGATCCCCACAAGGGGAAACTCAGTTTTATAAAAAATATCTGACTGCAATCAAAGAGCTAAAAATGCCAACCGTCATGTATTTCGTTAGGTTACTTATGGTTAAGGTTAGGGCTGGGTAGGGCTTAAGGTTGCCATTTTTGGGGTTAGGGTTTTGCCCATAGAAAGAAATGAATAGACAGTCCATCGGAAACATGAATGCAAATAGGTGTGTGTGTGTATGAATACAAACGTGTGTGTTTGCTTGTGTGTGTGTTTGTGAGGGTGTCTGGTGTATGTCTGTGTAAGTGTGTGTGAGAGTGTGCATGTCTGCATGCATTTAACGAGGTGCATCTAAGGGGACACCTTTGGCACTGTCCCCTGCATTGTGGGCAATTAATTTCCCCCTTAGACTGATCTCCGCTCCCCCTTCCTCCATCCCACCATCAAGCCAATCCCCTCATCAGGCAGCGTACACCTCATTTCAAAAGGTCTGCAAACCCCAATAGCAATCAGGAATAACCACACAAAGCCCAATGACTACATCAACATTTCTGTAAGGCAGAAATTATACAGTCCATTCACTGTTTACAGAATCTGATTTTCACATAACAAGACGGGGAAGAAAGGCAAAAGAGAAAGAATAGGCTTAAAATGAAAGTTTGGATTTGACTGTGAAGTTGCTGTGTGGAAAATTAATAACATTTGCTACCAGCCACTCAAAAAAGAGATTTAAAGTCTACAAGCAGATGGGTTGGTTCGTTTTGTTAGTCGATTGTTACTGAAAATGTTGCATAACAGAATTTAAACAACATAATTTAGTTTCCAGCATCTTGGACTGATTCCCCTGTGAGGATTTGTCCTGTTAGGATATGTATAATTGCAGAATTTATTGTTCAGAAATTTACATTATAAAATTCTTTCGTTTGCTTGGATAAGACAGAACATACATAATACAGGGCAAACAATCAGAACCTATGACAAGCACAAGTTCTCAAACAACCTGTGTACCCAGAAAGTTTTGGCTCTTGGATGGAACTATGAACAGAGTACCATGGTACTGCAGGAAACAGACAATACTTTTCTATTATTTTAAATGCAAATTAGCAGCCCCACTAATGGAACATGTAAAATGGCTTGTGTAAGCCCTGACACTAAACTTGTTACAGCAGCAGTGCTAGGGGGTGGTTTTAGTGCATCTCTGTCACAGTCATCAGTTTCATCAAATATAGGACACATTCTTAGAACAGATCATATACACGAAAATGTCAGAATGCATAAAAGGCTGACACCTCTACAAATGCAGCCAAATTCCTAGTCTGTGGATGACACGATAGTAGCGGGCCTCGTATCTAATGATGAGACCATATCTAATGATAAACTGGTGGACACTAGTAGACATCCCCCTGCATGCCTCTCCTTCGAAGTCAATGGCCAAGCCAAGTAATTGGTTGAGCCATTAATATTTCTGAGGTCCACCAGCACCTTGAGGTGGGACATTATATCCTCCTCCATCATTAGTAAATCTTATGAGAGGTTGGTCATCCAATACTAAGCTCACCTTCCATCATGATGAACTTCTTCTCAGCCATTACTGAGAATACGCTGACTACCTCAATCATAGCCTGGTTACCCCCAGGTGGTCTCCACTGCTGAAGTTCCCTTTACTGCAAGGGTGAACAGTAGAGGTGGCAGGGCTGTTACAGGTGCCACCCACCTCATGTCACCTCTCTGCCACTCAGACTGCACATCATCTCCATAATATAACCTACTGTATGGGCATAACCCCACACACACATACACTGAGAACCTAGGCAGCCAATCACAGCACCATAACTCAGTTCAGTGTTGCAATATTACTTGCCTGTAATCGGTGTTGTTGTACATTCTGTTTGTTGTATGACATTTGTTATTGTGCTCGTATGCACTAAGCTGCAATGCAAAACAATGCATTGTTTTGCACTACGTTGTATAGTAACCTTGTTTGGCAATTAGCCTTGAATCTTATTTTTGTTGTGTCTATCATATTGTATTTTATATCAATGGGGCTGTTGTACCAAGTTCTTGTCCTGCAGAAACACATAACCAGTTCCTGGATGTTCTACATACAGATAATAAAGAGTTCTGAGAAGCAAGCATGGAAAGCAACCATAATCCTATCTATAAAGATGGACTGTAATCGATTTTTCTCAGATAATTTTAGCTAATTCTGATTGGCAGAGGCAGCATTCACCTGTTTTAAATGCAATTAGGTCTTTGCCTAGCACCTTTTATTTACAACGGTCATATATTGTGACTATAGCTACTTTGTCCAACCCACACCAGCAACCCCAAACACACGTTCCTGGAGACAGATCACAGGGGCTGGCTTGTTCTATGAATTACATCACTTGTTGAAATGATGGGTTAACAGAACAGATCAGAACAAACAGTTTGCCGAAGAACATTGTGATGTAATCCATCGAGCATTGCCGAAGTTTCACAAAGAGAAATGAGCCTGATTATTAGTGGTATGCTACAAAATGAAGCTGCCTTCTATTACAGCTCATTAGTGGGACATACACTGCATGCCACTTGCCACTGATGAAAGGCGTCCTTGACCTTCACTATCAATCTGCATTTTGGCAATTGATTAATAGCCTTGTAAGTGCCTGGGTGAACCATGTTATCTTTAATATTTAATGCAAGTCTGGAATCCTGGGAGAAAACCACGGCTCTTTAATTATAGAAGTTTAAAACATCCATTTCCATTAAAGCATTGAAGAGATACAAAACACCAAAGTTATTTACAAGATTACATTTTGTTTAGTGCATGAAAAGAAACCAAAAAAACTTTTTAATTAAGGAGCTTTCCTGATTAAAATGATACATTTAATTAATCAATAGTAGTTTATGCAGTGGTAATGCTAAAATGGTAATTCATATGCTGTTTGGAGCAGGATTATTTCCTGTGGAATCCATGGCACAGATTAGATAAATGATGACAAATGTTGCTACCGTTTCAGCATTCATGCGCTAACTTCTTTGTCAGATTAATATACGGCTTTACAATTGGCAGTTGCAGTGTTGCAGTAATATCTCAGTATCAATTGTTTTATTGGCATGAACATCATTAAATATAGAGCATATTACAACAAGCAGGAAAGTGGAGATACAGTACAAAACTATTAATTAACAAGGACACAGGTCAACAAATGATGATACCCTCTGTATCACAACCCATCCACTTCCACCTGTAGTACAGCCATGATTAATTTCTTCTACTACATAACCCCTGGAAACAATGACAAGCTATGGATTCTGGTCTTTAAGAGCCAGTCTTTTGTATTAATGAGACAATCGGGAGCTTCATCCTTCTCAGCTCATTACGGCACAGAGATCGTCACCTGTCAGTCTGAGCTGCATTCTTTGGCTAACGGGTCTTCTGTTTCTTCAAAGAAGCCAGGCCTTCAATCTTTAACTGCTACCTCGCATTCTCAGCGCTGGATGTTTTTTGCATTTGGAAACTGTGCCTGTATTTAATATTTATACCACACTGAGGCATTTAAGAGAAACCCAGTGTGACATCGAGTTTCGAATGCCCACAAACAGACAGATCAGTCAATGACAAAAATAATTCACCCACTGCAAACAATTTATAAATAACATTGTGATAAATAGCGCTGTCAGAATGAAATAAAAGATAAAAATATAAGTTATAGCCATCCAGTTCTGCCCATCTAGTGCTTCCATTATACCTAGGTGTGAGTATTTCAATCTGCAGGGGTGTGTGCGTGTGAGAGAGGGAGAGAGGGAGAGAGAGAGAGAGAGAGAGAGAGAGAGAGGGAGAGAGGGAGCATGCAGAAACAATGGTTCACCTGCTTAAGGATCCCAGCTGCCATTTCATGCCCACAGTCAAAGATAACGTGGAACTCTTTCCCTCTCTTCATCTCCTTCAGCAGCGGCTTGGCGTCCTTCGTCTCTGCCGGCAACTGTCGTATCTTCAGCCGAATGTTGTAGCGAGACGGGGCTTTTATAAGCTCTTGCAACCGAATGAGACCTAGGGAGAGAGCAGGGTGAATGGAACACCGTGAAGGGGAGCACGTTTACGGAGAAAGGAAGAGCTCCCATGGCCACTGCACATTTGCATAACACAAAAGAATGCAATTCACCGGCTAGAACCTCGCTGCTTCCCCTGGCCGTAACGGCGTGGGGGGGCAGAGGGTCGCGGGGGCATGGGCCTCGACGTCGGGAACACTGTCTATTCAGCACCACTTCACAACATAGAAATTCAGCACCCTGGACAATGACCCCACTCCCATCCATATGCCTGCAGATTGAAGTTAAGCAGCTGCCCAGTGGCTCCTTGGGTCTGTCAGCAGCAGCAGTACAGTGGAGAGGCACACCATCCACACAACCCTTCCAAACATTCTTGTTTGCTCCTTCCATTTCCATCTAACACATAAAGTTCCCCACTTATGGTCCAAAGCAAACCAGGATTGTCTTCCACTAAGAATATTTGTCTGTAAAGGCTTCCTGCCACTAGAGGGTGGGGTGGGTGGAGGCCAAAACGTGTGGATTTTTTTGTTTGCCTTCCGGGGGAACTCCCATGACATACCCTTCCCATCATGCCTCGGTCCGGCTGAGAACCAATCTGACGATGACACCTGTTCCCACCTGGCTACATAGTCTGGGCCATCTTGCAGTGCTGCAGTGCCATAAGGCTGCTCGAATCTCTGTTAGACATCGTTCCTAACGTGCCGACTCTCCTTACTCTGTGGCTCTGTGTGTCCATCAGTACCTTTTGTCTATTACTGTGCATTCTGCTGGGTGGAACTGACATTTTTTTGTTGTCTGCTCTCTCCTGTCTTCCCCTTGTTATTGACCTAGCCACTGCCCCAGGTCTCTCTCACACACATCTGTCAGGAGCCAAGCTGCACATTCCCACAACTCTATTCTGTAACCCCGAAGCATGTGCTATTTCCCACTTTCCATGCTGTCTTATTGCTAATATCACTTTGCTATTACATTATATGCCAGCGAAGCCACAAAACCACGATATCCATTATAGATAAAGCTCCCTCGAAATGATTTACCAGATATAATGATCACTCTGAAGTTCTCTATTGCAGCAAAGAGGCCAAATTATGTCACATTTGAAGCTACATCACATGTTTTTTTTTTTTTTTTTTTAACTTGCTGAGCTTTTACACCAGGGGAGGAGTGGGAACTCAGTGGGCTCACGCCCCCTGCTGGTGGGCTTCATTCCTGCCCCAGCCTGTGTTTGCAGAGTTTGCATAAACATGCTGGGTTTGCATGGACTTCCTTCAGGTGCCTTGGTTACCCCCCACTATAAAAAGACATATGTTTCAGATGGATTACTGTCCCATCCAGGGACTCTGTGACTATGCACCAAATAAGCCCTCACAGGAAATGGATGGATGTATTTTAATTAGAATTACATAAATGAGTCAGACGGATAGATGCTTAATGATTCCATAATCTGGAAATTCCTCTTCAAAACTAGCCGGAGACATCTGTAATAGTCTTAACCAGCTCAACATGAGTCGTTTGGTCATTATTTCGCTAGCTTCATTCATCAGGTCATCCCAGAAAGATGAGGGTAACCGATGAGAAATATCAGAATCGCCTGAAAATCACATGTGCTTCTTGTCAGTGTAATTTGGTCTATCATAGATTTCACTGTTTTTGAACTGTCGTGGGCAGCAAACAGGGTACGGAATATCGAGCCCCAGTAAAATTTGTCACAAATAGGTAAAAACTACATTAATATTTTTAATTATGTTTGTATAAAACAGGTACGTTTTCTGGCATGGATAATACACAAGCAGGAAAATTCTCTATATACATGGTGAAGCAGCAGCCATAACCAGATGTTTTCTTATTCTGTATTGTCGAGTCCCAAGGCGATTTCCTCAAAGCGTTGTTTACTTAGATTCTTTTTCCGCTTGAATGCGTCACACTGTGGGACACTAAACGCGAAGTGGGATCTTCTCTCACGGTGTGCCGCTGCGGACCCGAGGCACTCCTCTATCCAAGGCCTGCGCGTTAGGCCGGCGCGTTGGGCCTGCGTGTCATGCCGCAATGCCCTGTCGCACACCACTGCCGCTTCCTCGGCCATGACGGAGCAGCATGGCGAGCTGACACAACCCCGAAGGCTCAGAAGCTGCAAGATGCAGCTGGACACATGCAGCTAGGAGTCACACAAATGGGCCTCTGGCGGCTGGGCAAAGACCACTGAGTGACTCCACAGAAATGCCAAGGGTGACCCCCTCCACCCTTTCGAGTTGTTCCAATCCCTCTGAATGCCTCTCCAGCGATTAGATGTGCAGATTGTTAAGCACACTGCCTGCAAACCTCCACTTACTGTCCATGTTTCTCTATTGTCTGTACTTCACTATACTGAGTGGGCCATGTGCTCTTTTATTCTTTTATATAGCTAATAAGGTTAGAGGTTGCAGAGGTGCTGATCATTGAGAGGTCTGGGGGTGTGTGGCTCTGCCTATCAGGACGCTGTGCCCGCGATCGGAAGGTCACTGGTTCAAAGCCCATGGCTTGCAGAGTGATTGCACCATCAGGCCCTTGAGCCAGGCCCTTAACCCCAATCTCCTCAGGGACTGTGGCTGACCTTGCTCACTAATCCGCACTTGTATGTTGCTTTGGACAAAAGCGTCTGCGAAATAAATTAATGTAAAGTGATCAAGTCTGGTGTGTTGATTAATCTCATCTATCCCTGTCATGGGTATAAACTGCTAGTTTTTGTTTTGCCTCTAGTAAGCGGACAGACGCATCAACCACCCGAGCGGTAGAAGCCGCTGACAGGTCCACGCTCTCCTGCCCTCAGCCCACCCACTGCTTGCATTTCAGTCCCTGCCAAAACGCCAGCTTTCTGTTCTCGTCTTATTTCCTCAGTGTGTGCTGTCAGTCCCGTCCCTGCGCCGTCCTGCTCCCCCTGAAAAAGACACGACATTCCCTGTTCCCTGCCTGACACCGTGTCAGATGCTTCCGTCCACAAGTCGAGACAGTTTCACATTCAGATTCTCGTTTGTTTTACGCGTTCAGTCACGTGTATATGCTTGTAGTGTGATCTATTCCACAGCATGGAAGACAAACAAAAAACAAAGGCATGAAAATAATATGACAATACAATGGACAAAAAAACAAACGAAAGAATAATTCAGGGAATCCACCTCTCTGCGTGTCTAATAAGGCACCACCAAAAAAAAGGAAAATTCACAGGAGAGTTTTCTGCAAGCCAAAAGTGCCCCTGTCAGCTTTGATCTTTACAGACTGCGCCTAATTCCTCCCAACGTCTCCGGGATCCAAATTTAACTCCGCATGAATATTTCATCCCCTCAGAGCGTTTATTAGCAGTCCTCTCGGTCACAGGGAGCTCCCTACGAGCCATGGGGGGGGGGAGAAAGTCACCAATAAATAACCAAAACAGTTGCATCACTCAAACATGCTGCTCAAAGCTTCCAAATATGTTAAGCGGAACAACCTTCGCCGGCCCGCCAGCCGGCCTCGCGGAGGAGGGGAGAGACAGGTGTTTTTGGATGGGGCCGTCTGCCCGTCGCCCACAGCGACGCTCCGTTCTGCTCCGACGGCCAGTGGTAAATCACAAGGCTCACTCCAGGTACAAAAGGTCGGGCTTAATGCAGCAACGCTGCTGCCCTTTCTTTATTTTCACATTCGATTAAACGTGGTGAATAAATGGGAGGAAAAAAAAACATTAAAACGTGTTTCCGGTCAAAGGTTTTAACAGTTCATTCAGGGACACAGAACCATTCATTTTGGGCAATTACACACATGCACCCATTCATGAGAAAATTTAATTTCTCCTTTCTTGTTCTGGACTTTTCAGGGGACTGCAAAGGGGTTCACTGACTGACCAGGGAGAAAACGCCTTTGTCACTCTGACTTTGAGCTCCAAGCTGCACATTAACATGCTGCAGCTCTCCACAGCAATTAAGCACAATTTATTTAATATATGGGAACATCTGGCTCGCAACTATATGCGTGTTATAATCTTAAACACCTTGTCACAAAGGTTCATGCCACTCTCTGTACTTAATTACACCATACGCTTATGGAGGCAAATCAAGGATGAAAGGAAAAAACTAACAATAAACAATAAAAATAAACGTGACCGGAATGGTGCTTCATTGATAAACTTTGAGATTTCTAATAAATTATAGCCACCTTCAATTATGCAAATTGTCCTTTGATTATATCATGAACAATTAACCGTAACATAGAATCTGATAAAGAACCTATGACAATTATTTAAAAAGAACAAAATTGAGCTTGCATCTATGTGTAATTTAGCTATAAACATTCAAAGAAAATGCCTTCTTTGATTACATAACTGGCTGTTCTGTATTTGATCAGGTAATATAATTATATGTGTAATTGTGTGTATAATGAGATATGTCTAGAAGAAGGTGATTATTACATTCATATTCATGTATTCCTAATTTTATTTAAAATACTAATTTAAGCAGATGAGAGAATGCAAGTGTGCATCCTATTCTTTGCTGAGCTTTGCAGTCTGCATCTGATGACTCACAATATCGTGTATCTTCTACATTACAAGTCTTTCAAACATCCATCCATCCATCCTTCCATCCATCCATCAACTCCCTAACCGCTTGTCCTAGTCAATGTTGCAGAACCTTTCAAACAATGTATCCAACAAATACGCCCATACTTATATTACAGACTGTTTGAGTTCAATTTGACCACATATTTCACCTAAAAATTTGAGGTATTTTAGTTTTTTAACGCTATATTACACTAAAATGTGATAATTATTCTACATAACCGCTTACATCCCATGAAAAGCTCAAATGCTACTGAAGGACTTTTACAACAATTATAAATTTATCTCACAGCATCACTGACATTTTTATTTAAAAACGTTATTCATTCATGCAGCAGGATTTGTAGCAAAATCAGCATGTGTATTACTGCATGTGTACATCATTCTGCGCCCATCCATCTTCCAGCTGCTTTAGGGTCACATGGGGTGCGGCTAGC